AAAGTTTGCATATGACTCGCTTGAGTTAAATACTGACATAAGTTGTTCTCCTCATCAGTGGAAAATACTTTTCATACTGCGCAAGCACCATAAGAGAGGAAATTGTTGGGGCCACGAACCAAAAATCTTTAAAGTGTCATCCGTGACACATGGAATTTCTTTGTAGCTTATCGAACCGATATTTTCTTTTCTTGAATTGCATTGTATGTTTTTAATAGGTTTTTATGATCTGTCGGGGCTCTTTTTACGCCGGTTTTACTTCTAGGTATCTGTAAAGAAAAAAGAACTGTTTTTACCTCTTTTTATGTATCCACCTTAACCACCCAAGAGATTGTACCTTGGGCCGTGGCCCAACCTACAAGACGTAATAGTGGTCCAAGGTACAAGACTCGGCCGAAAAGAAAACGAATATGAATTAACCTAAAAAAACTGTTTTGTTATATTTCTGACTGTTGTTTAAGTACCTGTTAGAATAATTCACTATAATTTTAAGACAGCCGCAAGTGATTTCGGGTGACGTTCAACAACTAACCACAGAATGGCCATGATTGTAGAAGAGCTTTACATAAGAATCAGAAAGAGTTTGCGCACCAAATAACAAAAAAAGGGGGGGGCTCATGGTATAAGCTGGCTCAAGGTACAAGCCTCTCCCCTATTTATTTGTAGCCAAATTTAAGTAAATACTTTATACGGGGTGTAATTTGATAGGGTGCCGGATCATAACTGGTACAGTGCCAGGTTAATAAACGCAAGATAACTTTTACTGGGAAAGTAGACTTTGCTATGCCCAGAACATGGTAATGTAATAATGTAACGATTGTTGTATTACTTTATTGATTGTAAATTTACTTTTTAACTAGGAATAAGCCACAATTAAAGTTAAAAAAATACATTTATTGACGTTTCAATTTCCACTTCAGAAATCGTTCTGAAAATACAAACAGTAAATTAAACAAATTTTGTTTTTTGTTACATAGTGAAAAATTCTTCTAATAATTTAATTTTATCTGACTCATTTATATTGACAATTCAGACATACATTATGCATTTTAAAGTAGACGACTTTAAAATGATATTGCCAATATTGTTGAGTTGCTGTCCTTGGACGACTTTACTTATAAGATAGTTCATTCGATTAAATGAAATCTACTTTAACTTGAGAATATCCGTCAGAAAAAAAATCATAGCATGTAATTCGTCTTTAAAAAGACAAACAAATGACATGATGACAGTAAATTTCTCCTGTTAGTGATTGCATAGTAAATTATGAGGGAAAAACCAGGAAAAAAACCTCATAATACTATCCCGACATGGTAAGTATTTGTCCGTGCATTTAATAAACCTTCAATAAACACCAAAATTCTGATTTTATATGTTTCGTTATTTAAAAAACTGTTAATGTTTCACCTAAATAAAACTGATCGCATTCACAAGGTGTTTTATAAATGCAATTCTTTGTCCTTTCTTGTTCATTGTTAGGTTTGGTTTTGGACAAAATAGATACCTTTCCTGGATGTTTTAATCTGTAAGAACGATACTGGATATAAGACCGATCAGTTTTATTTAGGTGATACATCAAGGCCATTAAATGTTAGAATAAGTGAACATCAAGGAATAATTCAATATTCCATAGAACACATAGGGTTCAATGGAATAATTCAAATGTAGTCCTAAAAGAAACGGATGGTAAGAAAAGAAAAATTAAAGAAGCGGCTCTAATTATGCTAAATGAGGCCAATTGTGTCGCAAATTCCTCGGCAGAATGTAGTAGGATCTGGTTACCAATATTGACAGAGTAAGTTATTATTAAGAAAATACCAGTATTAGTAAGTCAGTAACATATAGAGGATACATCATTTATGTTTTTTAAATAACGAAACATATAAAATCAGAATTTTGGTGCTTATTGAAGGTAAACTAAATGCACGGACAAATACTTACTATGTCGGGATAGTATTATGAGGTTTTTTTCCTGGTTTTTCCCTCATAATTTACTATGGAATCACCAACAGGAGAATTTTACTGTCATCATGTCATGTGTTTGTCTTTTTAAAGACGAATTACATGCTATGATTTTTTTTCTGACGGATATTCCCAAGTTAAAGTTGATTTCATGTAATCGAATGAACTATCTTATAAGTAAAGTCGTCCCAGGAGCGCAACTCAACAATATTGGCAATATCATTTTGAAGTCGTCTACTTTAAAATGCATAATGTATGTCTGAATTGTCAATATAAATGAGTCAAATAAAATTAAATTATTATAAGAATTTTTCACTATGTAACAAAAAACAAAATTTGTTTAATTTACTGTTTGTATTTTGAGAACGATTTTCGAAGTGGAAATTGAAACGTCAATAAAAGTATTTTTTTATCTTTAATTGTGGCTTATTCCCAGTTAAATAGTAATTAATTTAAAATGCCACAAGAAAATAGGTTTAGAACAATATTATTGATTGTAATAAAAATAATCAATAAAGTAATACAACAACCTTTATTATACATTATTATATGGCACAGTTTTGTTTGTTGTCAAAGAAACTTGTTGCTTCCAAACTAAAACCAAAACAAGAAGTTAGAATTAGACTAATATAGAATTTAGAATCTCTCAACCATTATCATTTGAAGGTCACGTGGCTGAAACTTTCGGTAATTCAAACCGACATTTGAAATTTACCTCTTTGCCAGTGACAAGGTGGAAAGGAAGACATAGTAAAAATTGCTCTGCTGTTAAATTTTTTGTGAGATGAAGGACTTGATGTGTTTAACACAGTAAAGATACAGGATTGGGTGAATAATAGAAGTACCTCTCCTGTCTCTAAAAAGAATGTGATTTACGAAAGATTCAAAAATATAGATGAAAAGAAGTTCAGTCAATTCAAGCACTTAATATTTATTAATTCTGTAAAAGGAGGCAATGACAAGCAAATGACAAGGGGAGAAGCTTCGAATAACAATTTTTCTTCATGTGCCGAGCTCGATTATCGAGCGTTGGCTATGAAATTGGCTATAGTAATTTTGTTGACGGCAGCTGGAAAAAGAGATGCAGAACCCTTGTCCATCTATATAATATGTAATGGAGTGAGGTAAGGTATGTCCTATTCATCGAGCAAAAAGACAAAAGAGGGAATCTAATCCTTATGAAAAGGAGACAAAAAAGTGGCCTCTGATGGCGGACATATCCGGAAATGCGAATGCGCTAAATTTAAATTTTCCGACACTTACTAAAAGTAACTGTATAATATTTTTCAGAAGGTGTCTTAGACGAGAAAGTTTTAATTAATTATTAACAGTAATAGTCTAAAATGCGACACAATTGTTAAAAAACTTCAATATAAATAAGATTTCATGTGACATTTGGGACAAACAATAACATAACATAACTAAATTTGATGTCAAACAAGGAGAGAGACTCTCTTTCCTTGTTTAATGTGGCCTCTAAAGATCGCACTTTCTGTCTAACAATATTTTTGCCCCCACTACCTTTACATTCCCTCTTTTGTCTTTTTGCTCGATGGTCCTATATAAGGGCAGGTAGGGTAGTCTACATCGCTCCTGTTATAATTAAGCATGCTTACAGCAGCCATACAAATATAGTTCATGTTTTATATAGCCCAGTTGGGTTTTATAGTCTATGATTTCCCACATATACTTTGAAATCTCCAAAGGGAAAGCTTTGTTTTGTTGGTTATTCTTTCTTGATAGGAATTCCATGTAAGTCTCTTATCTAGTATTACTCCTAAATATTTGATTTATAATAGGATTGACAGAGAGTTTTTCTCTATCGCACCACCTAGTAAGGATATTTACTGTTCTTCTTACCATAATTAGGTACTAGATCATCCGCATATGCCTGCACTTCTACCTCAGGTGTGACCACAGGAGGAGAGAAAGCACTCCACACTTTGAACACCTCTTAGCTGTTTTTGCCAAAATCTCTTCTTCTTACAGTTCTGTTAGAATCAGCCTATTTGCCAGTATATTATAACGGATATCCCCTTTAATGCTACTGCATCATAAACATAATTTGGTAATGCATTATAAAATGCGCCTTTTATATTTAGAAAGCCCTTCATATTATTGTTGACGTCATAACATCCAATGTCTAAACACAGACACGTCATCACGAAAATAAGTTTTGGCAATCTATTTTTGCTTTTCTTAATTTTAATATTATTTGATACTGTAACGAAAAAGCTTATCTTCGACATATCTAGCATAATGATCGCAATTCGTCAGAAAGATGACCCATATACGAGAACCTTCGCGACGTTTGAAATAGCGACCGAGTATTCCAGAAAATATAAGGGGCGTGTGGAATAATGACCTTGGCATTGTAGAATATACGGTTGAGTAACAAATGATGGACTAATCGAGATGATACTAGAATTTGTATTTCTATATATAAGTAGCTGTGTTATTAATTTAGTTAACTTTTGTAGATAATATCGTGTTGTAAATAAATAGTTTATATAATTCAGAACTGCTTCTTTTGTTTAAAATTGTTAAAATACTATAACTTATTCCCATCATATATCAAACAAGTTGGACTGCCATATTTCCACAATTCCAGATCACACTGTTTCTTGATGTTTTTATAGATTGTTGCCTTTAGGGAATTATCGAGAGTTCTTTCACGCCAATATTATAATATATATATATATATATCTATATATATATATATATATATATATATATATATTATATATAATATATATATATAATATATATATATATAATATATATATATATATATATATATATATATAATATATATATATAATATATATATAATATATATATATAATATATATATATATATATATATATATATATATATATATATATATATATATATATATATAATTTTACTATATATTCTCGAAAGTCGGTCCTTTGAATCTTGAAACTGTAGTTATTTATAACGTTACCATTTTGTGCTAAGCTCAAAATTGTTCACCAGGAATGATGAAATGGGCAAAAAAACTAAAAACAATTTTACTAATTATTTATTTATGTTACCTACGTCAAAATATCACATTTCTGCATTTATTTGCGGTTGTCCCAAATCTTCAGTTAACAACGAACGTTCTGAATCTGCTCCAACGAGAGAATACGTCTGCCTAGGTTCCAAACACATCATAATTCTAAAATGGTAAAAAAAAATAAAAAGAACAGTGTAGAGATAAACAAACAAGAACAAATTTATCAACAAAATAAAAACAGTGTTTTAAAAATATAATCATTTTGCTGTATTATTATTATATTAATTTAATTAACCCTTTCACGGAAAAACCCTGGTTATACTGTACCTATCATAATATTCTAATTTTATGGCAGTGTTCAATATAAAGCGCAACTGCCAGAGAAATAAATAAAAAGGCTACTTTCTATTTTATACGTTTTCGCTTGGTTATTAATTGGTTTACGAAAAATACCAGAAATAACCGATAAAAATCTAGAAGAAACTGTTTTTTTTAACAAGCTATAAGAATTTCAATCGATATGGCATTAAAAAAGGGGTGTATAGATAAGTGCCTTTTGATTTTAAAATGTTCGTACCAAGAGTTATATATTGGAGGTGATTTCGAACAACTGGTCCTCACAAGACAGTCAACTCCCACTTCTAGCTACTCAGTAACAGCATCTTAGTTTTGGTCAATGAAGATGGTTAAGTTTTTCGCCGTTTATTGTTTCTCTTCTGTGGTACCAATTGACCATCGTAAAGGCATACCCTAATGCCGTTATGAATAATTTCGGTGATAATGTATACCCTCTCCTTATCCCACGTTGTATTTTTATTGGTCGGGTTTTATCGTGTATTGCGTGATCGTAACGAAAGCTTTATGATCATCTATGAAACAGAGGAAATTTCATTCATCTATGAAATTTTTGTTGTTTGACAACATATGGTCCCCAATAACCATTTAACTATTCAAGACAAAGTGGTAGAACTCGTGGAAAAATATATGTAATTAGGTCATGAAATAAGAATCAGCAGGGATAACCAAACATGCGAAATCCAAAGACGAATTACTTTAGAGTGAGAAGCCTTTGGAAAACTGCTAGACACAGGGCCAACATACCAATTAGTATTTGATCAATGCGTATTACCAGTCATGACCTATGGAGCGGAAACTATGACTCTAACCAAGACTATGGCTTCGAAATTGAGAGTGGCACAGAGACGAATTGAACGGTCTATGCTGAACGAGTATTGCTTATGTTGTGGAACGCATAGCCGAACTGAAATGTAACTGGGCAGGCCATGTAGCAAGAATTCATGATTCACGATGGACGAGCAAAATTACAAATTGGAGGCCAAGAGCAGACAAACGTAGTAGAGAAAGACCACCTACACAGGCTAACGACATCAGGCTTATCACCAAAAATTGCCAACAAAGAGAGGAAAATCGTAAAGAATAGAGGAGTTTAATGGAGGACTAGTTTAGCAGTGATTAATAAAGGCAGTGATCATGGTGATGAACTTCATCGACCAGCAGATTAAACTAAGTGGGAGTAATCCAATATGGCCAACATTTTCCTGGGTGATTACCGGTAATTTAATGGCTAACAGCTTTAAAAACTGCATTAAGAACTCACTGAGTAGACCTGAGATCAGATCAAAACTATCATACAAGAAACAACCAAAAAGTAAAAAATTATTATTAACCGCAAAAACAATGGACGACTAATGAAATCTTGAGACTAATTTAAAAAAGATGAAAACATAAAAATCATAAAACAAATAAAAATAAATCACAAGGAAAATCCTGGATGCAAAAGAAAAATGGCACAGCAGCAAATGTCTTGAAATAGAAAAATTGCAGAAAAACAGTAACACGTTATATGTATGTATAAAATATACAAAAAGGTGCAAAAAATAACTGTAACTGTTGGGGATACGGAAGGCGCCTCTCTGAGTACTGCTTTTTTTGCTATTTATCGTAAGCGATAGAGCAGTCGACGTCCCTGGTAATATTATAAAATTACCGGCCAATCCTTCCAACAATAAGCGTGACCAAAAAGAAAAGAGCTCAAGATAAACAATCCGCATCAAACACGGTTATTTTCAGAGCCATTTCTGACGATACTCTCGATCAATATCGAGGGAATTACTGATAACAAGGAAGTTCTACTTTCGCACATGTGTAAAACTTCTAAATCTGACTTATTTTCGTCCCGCTACGAAAAGCAGAGACGACCAAACATTGATGGGATGAACCGTACCATTGACATCCCCCACAGAAAACACGGTAGCGGTATTTTTGCAGAAAGTGGCCTGACTGTCAAAACAACTGACACCATAAACTAGGATGGCGCAGAAATCCCCTCCATCGAACTCGACAATTGCACAGTAATTTCTGTATACAAGCTTTCAGGAACGTAATTTGTATTTAATCCTTTCAAAAACTTCCATTCCGCCAGTCCGAACTTAGTCGTATGTAGCTTCAACAGTTACCACACAGTATGAGGATATGTAGAAATGGACAATTGCGGATAGGCCATGGAAGAATGAACGAAAAAAAAAACGGCCTATCTCTGATCCACGATCCGAAACTGTCAAAATCGTTCTACAGCAAAATATGAAGGAAGGTGTACAACCCCGACTTACCTTCGCAAGTGGCGTAATTAACGGTTGCTGCACAAGGACGGTTTATGATCCTATCTCAAAAATACAGCATCGTCCAGTTGGTCTAAACGTACGCGCAATATTCAAAACGACAGATTTTTAAATTTTTAAAAATTTAAATTTTTAAAAAGCCAAGTGGTACAGATACGCTGCCGAGAAATACCGCGCACTGCCAAATCTCGAAGCTAACCCTGCAAATTATGATGCACATTCCTAGAGGCTGTAGACAACGATACGTCCTGCGCCTTAACGACGAACAACGCAAAGTAAATATCAGAGACTGTTCGAAGCCGATCCCTTTAGTTAGGAAATCATAGAATGAGCAGACGAACTTGTGAAGACTGAGTGTGGGGAGGCAGCGAAAGTGGATAGAGAAAATAGAGAAGATGGATATGACACAAAACCTTGCCAAGAAATAAAACTGTGATAAAAAAAGCTGTTACAACCTATTGTCAAGTTACACCAGACCAAGTCGCCAATCAAATACTAGTCAATGAAAAACCCAGCCAAAAATCACGTCCGGAAAGACCAAAAAATTCTACCGTGCTGGCAGCTAACCCTTAAAGTGTACTTGCTTGCCATTTCACCTTGAAAGAACTAAACTTTGGTATCGGATGCATGAAGAGCGACAAGGCAGCGGGTGAGGACGACCTATGTATGGAGCAGATCTAGAAATTTGGCACAGAAACGAAAAGGTAGCTACTGCAACTGTTTAACCAATGTGTCTCTTCACTCCAAATACCCAAAATCTGGAGAAAAACAAAAGTTATTGCCCTGCTGAAACCAGGAAAACCTACCGATGTTGCCAGTAGTTACAGGTCAGTCTCTATAATATGCCAACTATACAAATTTTACTAAAGAATTATACTAAAGAGAGTGAAGTCACTTCGCGTGCTTCGTCTAATGCCCGAACAGGCTAAGTTGAGTCCGGGAAAGAACAAGGCTACTGAAAAAACTAGTTACAGATGTGGCGTTCGTAGATCTATCTATGACGCTATTAGTTTAAGACTACTTCTTAAAAAGGTTAGAGCAATAAAAGGAGATGAAAAATTCACAAGCTTCGTAAAATTTTTGCTTGAAAACAGGAGAGTCTATGTCTATTTTGAGTAGAAGAAAAGCAGGTGGCGGAACCAAGAGAATGGCCTAGCGCAGCGCGGGAAACTATCACCTATGATAAAGAAGTAGACTATATCAGTGTATGGGAATCGACCGACCAGACCTGGGAAAACGAACCACGGAGTACACTAAGCGCTTCAGGCAGTTATTTGACGACAGTCATTAATGTTCGGTGAGGAAGAATACTCACACGACGAGTTCTAAAATCTAGGAAAGGTTTTCTCAGTGACGTTCCCGTGGAACCTCCAGACTCCAACTGGTTTGAACTGCGATCGGAGGACATGTGCAATACTAAACCAAATGAGATCGGGCGTGGCCGCTGTGAAGACCAACACAACAAGATAAGGCCAACTCGATGAAAATGACACCTTATGTAAGTGCCGCAAACGATGGAACTTGGCTTACCTGCTCCAGTGCAACTAATGCCCGTTTTTATGCACGATGGACGACCTGTAGAAAGCCAAAATTTGAATACTTGAAATGATTACGCTTAGACACAAAAAAGTAAATGGTAAGTAGCTGTATCAAATATAAGGACATACATTGACAAACAAGGAAATAATACAGTCGATGAACAAGACAAACAAAGGTAGAAGGAATATATTGATGAAGAAAATAAACGCTAAACAATTGCACCATCAGTCTGAAGAGATATGTACTAAACATTTTCTTAATAATACTGCACTCGAGAATTTACAACCAAATAGAAGTGCAACAAAGAGAAATAAAGTTTGGTTCTGAATATGAAAATATAGAAATCAAGAAATATAAGAACTAAGACAACTGTGCAATTATTCTAAACAAAAGAATATTTGCGGATAATTCGGCATATATTTTGGTCAGAAAAATATATAAAGAACTGTAGAAAATGTCCCAAGAAGAAACAATTAACTACTACAAATAAAAATTAGAAATTAATTGTACAGAAATTGAATGTGGCGGACACCACAAATTTCTTAAAAGAGGTACATATACAGTAGAGAAAAGATTGAAGTCCAATGATATTATTATACTCAAAATTTCAAGTTTAACTCATTTATTAATTTAACTTCATTCTTAATATTTATTATGTTAAATATAAAAGTGATAAATAATAATTCCTTTACATTGTTAAATACAAATACTTACATAGTAAACACCATAACAATTCCTATTAAACAAATAGATACCAAATTATATAATGAGGAATTTGTATCTATTGTGGCGTTGTAAACCATGGTATATAAAGGAGAAGCCCCCAACGAAATCAGAGCTGTACCCCCTACTAGCACAGCAAAAATTTTTCCCATTTCATCAGCCGGTACTATACGCGATATATGCGATCTCAGCATAGGTAATACCAATCCTCCTAGGCATCTAACTACCCCAGCTGAAAAGACAATAAAATTCAATAAAAAAGTAAATGCAAAATATGTCGTTATATCATTGCAAAACTGAATAACTTTCTTCTAATTTAATTTGACACCAAGTAGCAACTTGCAAACTATCTTGAAGGAAAAATATTCATTCAGAAGTATCATATTTGTATTGTTCGTTACATTTCAAAATTATAATAATTCGTAGTATCAAGAAACTAAAAGAAAAATTAGGTTAATAAAGATGGGCAAAATGGTCGCAGGGATCTACTACGCTTAACAATTATTGGGCGTTTCCACGCCAAATTTCAGAAAAAAATGACCCCATTTGGTGAAGAAAAAAGTGCTCTTCCACCATGACAACGCACCAGTTCAAACCGCCGCCGTCGCCATGGCGAAATTGTCCGAATTTGACTACGAATTAATTACTATTTAACTGGGAATAAGCCACAATTAAAGATAAAAATACGTTTATTGACGTTTCAATTTCCACTTCGGAAATCGTTCTCAAAATTCAAAATGTTTGTATTTTGAGAACGATTTCCGAAGTGGAAATTGAAACGTCAATAAACGTATTTTTATCTTTAATTGTGGCTTATTCCCAGTTAAATAGTAATTAATTTAAAATGCCACAAGAAAATAGCTTTAGAACAATATTGACTCCGAACTATTGTTCTGTCCAACTTATTCTCCAGATTTGGCCCCGTGTGGCTTCTTTTTGTGTCCAAATTAAAAAAGGCACTCGCTGGGCAGAAATTCAAGTCCAATAAGGGGGTTCATTGCCGTCACAAGAGCCTGCTTTGCAGACCTCGAGGAAACGTATTTTTCAGACTGGTTAAAAAAGTTAGAGCATCGCTGGATCAAGGGTGTCAAACAAAAAATTTACTATGTTGAGAAATAAATCACCAGTTCTTCAAACTTTTCGTTTTTCTTTTGTAGGCTAAGTACTTATCGGATATCCCGAGTAAACATATTAACATACATTTCTATCTATCTATTTATACAGCCCTTGCTGTCCAATTTTGGACATAGGCCTTCTCTTCCCTTTTCCACGTCTCTCTGTTGTGGGCAGTTTGTATACACTTCGGGCCTGCGTGTTTCTTGAAGTCATCTGACTATCTCATTTGTGGCCTTCCTCTTTTTCATTTGTAACTCTATGGTCTCCAGTGTATAATCATCTTATTCCATCTGTCGTCTTTCTTATGTCTTATGGTATGTCCAGCGAACTTACACTTAAGTTTTGCTATCTGCGTTGATACATCGGTCACTTTTGTTTTGTTGCGGATCCAAGTATTTCTTTTCTTGTCTGATAGCCTGACGTTCAGCATTTGTCTTTCCATGGCTCTTAGGGTCTTTGCTATTTTTTCCATGTTTTCCTCTGTAAACGTTCAAGTTTGAGAACCGTTGGTGAGATCAGAAAGTATACATTGGTTGAAGACTCTTGTTGTTTAATATTGGGGGTATTTTCTATTTTTAAGTATATAGGAAAGTTTTCCGAAGGATACCCAAGCCAACCGTATCCTTCTCTTTATTTCTCCGGTCTGATTTTCTTTATCTAATTTAACTAGTTGTCCCAAATATACCTACATATTTTTTTACTTGTTCTATAGTTGTTTGTGCAATTGTAATTATTCATTCTTCCGATTGGTTGGTCATAATTTTCGTTTTATTATAATTTATTTGTAGACCTATTTTCGTTGATTCGCTATTTAATTCATACATCATATTTTGCAATTCTTCCCTTTTATCTGTTATTAATACAATGTCGTCTGAATATCTCAAGTGATTCAAGTATTAGCCATTTATGTTAATACCCCGTTTTTCCTATTGTAATTTCCTCATAACGACTTCCAAAGCTTAAAAGAATAGTTTAAGTGATATAGTGTCACCCTGTCTGATTCATTGCCGTATCTTAATAGGCTCCGTTTGTTCAACTATTTTAATGGATGTTGTTGCTTGATCATACATATTGGAAATTAAGTCCGTATATCTTTAGTCTATTCTCCCATTTTGTAAAGAGTTGTATACTGCACAATGTTCCACCTCATCGAATGCTTTTTCAAAGTCTACAAATTCCATATACATTGGGATTTTATATTCGTTGGCCTTTTCAATTAATATTTTTATCGTAAGCAGATTGTCGCTTCTACTGAATCCTTTTCTAAAACCGGCTTGCTCTCTTGACTGGTAATTATCTAACTTAGTTGTTAATCTGTTTGTTAGTAGTTTAGTTAACAGTTTATACATTACATTAAGTAGCGTCATGGGCCTATAGTTTTTCAGATCTTTTTTATCGCCTTTCTTAAATAGTAATAGTGTTATTGCCTCGTTCCATGTGGTGGGTATTTGTTTTGTGTTCAATATTTTATTCATTAGTACATATAGGACTTCCACTGTAGTTTTCCCCCATTTTTTAGCATTTCCACAATTATTCCATCTTTCCCAGGATATTTGTTATTCTTCATTTCTTTGAGTGCCTTTTTTATTTCATTTTTACTTATTTCTAGTTGTAGGTCAGAGTTAACGTTCTGTATTTTCAGTTGTAACTGATTACGGATTTCTTGGGTTGGTTTTTGTCCTGTTTTATAGAGATTTGTATAATTTGTATAAATATTTTATATTCGTGCGTTATCTGTACAATTTCTTTTATATTGTTGGTCTCTACTCCTTCTTTGTTCTTAAACCTATTAATTTGTATGTTTCCCAGGTTCTGCTTTCGGCACTTCATGTTTCTATTTTTTAAATTGTTTTCTCTATCTTTCTTTCCTGTACTGTCCGTTTACACTCCTTGATATTTTTTCTAATAGTTTTGTTTATTTCTTTGTATTCAATTATATCTTTGTCTCCTTGCTCTAGTAATGTTCTTCTTGTGTTCATAAGAATCTGTGTTTCCTGGGATATGAAACTTTCTTTTTTTGTTGTTGTCTGTGCTATTTCTTTACCCACTTTCATTAGAGTTTCAGTTAATATCATGTTTATTTCATCGATATGTTTGTGTTCTATATCTTCCTTGGTCGGCAATATTTCCTTTATTCTCTCTTCGTACGTCTGTTTTTCTTGTTCTAGTTTTCCCATGTCTAATTTCTGAATTTTTTCCATTTTCTTTCTTGTTTCAAATCTACTATCAATGATCAGCTTGGCTCGGACTAGTCTATGGTCGCTACCAGTTGAGAAACGATTTAGGGCTGTTACGTCTTTAACCATGGATTTTTGTGTTGAAAGAATAAAAATTTCGTTTTTAGTTTCACCATTGGGACTAATCCATGTTCATTTTTATTGCGGTTTTTTCTTAAAGAATGTATTCATTGCATATAGTTGCTTCTCCTCCAAGTAATTCATCAATGTGTGTCCTCTATCATTGTTCTCCTATTTTGACATTGAAGTCCTCGATTATTAGCGATAATTTTGATTTATTTTCTTCCATAGTTGTTGTTATGTCTTCGTAGAAATGTTCAATATTTTCATCGCTGTAGGTACTTGTTGGAGCGTACATCTGTATGATTTTTAAGAAAGTTCTTTTTAATTTAAGCGTCGTATATGCTACTCTATCTGACATGCCCTTGGTAGATTGTATGTATTTAACTATTTTTTTATTTAGTATAAATACTACTCCATTGTTGGTATTTTCTTCATTACCTTTAGACTATAGCAAATTTCCTGATTTTAGCTGTATTTTTTGTTCTCCTTTTCTTCTTACTTCGGATATGCCGATAATATCCATTGTATTTTAGTCAGTTCTTCCTCTAGAACGTGGATTTTAGTGTCTTCGTTCATGAATCTGATGTTATATGTTTCTACATTTATTTTTGTTGAATATTTGCCTCCAACAGAATCCTTGAGGCGAACATACATTTGAATTACACAATTTTATTGAATTAATATAAATTAATGAGATTATTTTTTGCGCATGCGTAAAATGTCGCAGAGCAAACTTCAAAACCTAATGAATGAAAAATATTAATATCAATCTTACTTTACCGTTGGGATCCGAAACATTAAAAAATAGTTTTGTTTTGTACTGTTAATTATATCAAATAATAAAAAAAAGTCTGTACTTACCACTATAAATTAAATAGTTGTTTCTTGCGATTACCATAATAATATAACTGATCATATACGAAACTAATCCAACAAGAGTAAGTATCGTGTCCCTAATTTTCAATAGTTTGTGCAGAAAATAAGTTCCTCCCATAGTCCCTATTATCCAGAAAATGTAATAGAAACTGTTATACAAACTATACATTTTAAAATTCCAGTCAAATCTTTCTGTAAAGAATAAATATTGAATTCCAGTGTCTCCTGTAGTTAGGAAACCAAGTATTGCCGTCGAGAGTATAGCAATGAGGAGCAACGTTCGCTTGTGTTCTCCTCTATTTTTAAATGTGGTTATTACCATATCTTTGAAATTTTGTAATTGAATAAGTTTTCTATCTTCGGTCTAAAACAAAAATTTAATTTAAAGCTACTAAAAGCTTGCAAAGTAAAAAAAGTCATGGATGTTGTTGGGGGTGTTCTAGGGGACTTACCCCTTTCAGAAACTCTTTAGTCTCTATCAAAGTATTGGTAAATCCTTTAGGATTATGATAGTGGTGTTTGGAACCAAACTTGTGGATTCTCTTGCTGTGGTCAACTAGGTTTCAAGATCGTTCATCACACCACCCACTCACTGTGATAGCGAGTTAAAAGTGCTAAGGTTGAACGAATATACAGGGTGTTTCAAGAAGGTATGTCATAAATTAAATCACGCATTCCGGGGACAAAAGTAAATTGATTGAATCCAACTTACCTTTGTACAAATGTGTACACAAAAAAGTTACAGCTCTTTGAAGTTAAAAAATAAAAATTGTTTTTTGCATTATCTTCTACACTACTAGATATTTTGTAATAAAAATGGACACGTTACTTTCTTGTTCTGAAAGCATCTTTCATACTTACTTTTTCGAGTCTGGATCCGACTAAAGTTTTTCTGCCCAATATCGGGCTACGTCTACAGCCTTTGTATTTGCGAGCCATAAATCATCGAGGGTGCACTGTGATGGGCAAAGTCTGCATACTCTCAGGTGCTCCACGTTCTGTATTTCCCCACATTCACATAGTGCCTCGCTATCTGTCTTGATGCCACATTTAATGAGGTTCTGTTTTACATGGGCAACACCTGTGCGCATGCGGTTGAGTGTCCGCCAGGTTCTCCAGTCCAGGTTCATACCATTAGGTCGTTCTGGATGTAGGGGGAACACTTCGGGTGGTTCGACGCTGACATTTCTCATAAACCTTTTCCTTGATTTAAGTGGGCTGATTCCTGGCGGTTCGTCAAACCCGTATAATTGGTGCCGTTCATCGAAAGCTTTCCTGAACTTCTCCACATATTGTGAGGCACATCTACGGTCGTCTGGTGATGCGAATCCAGCTACCCGGTACAGTAGGTGTAGAGGGGTAGGCTTCATACAACCGGTAATGATTCTACATGTTTCATTTAACGCCGTGGTGACTTGTTGAGCGTGTCTAGATCTACCCCAGACGGGACAAGCATATTCCCCTGTTGAGAAACATAAGGCCTCAGCTGTTGACTTCAAGACCTGGGGATTTGCACCCCACTTGCTCCCTACAAGTTTCCGGAGAAGGTGGTTTCTCGTAGAGACCTTTTGTTTTGTGCTCTGACAGTGGAATTTATACGTTAGTGACCGGTCTAGTATCACTCCAAGATATTTGGGCCTATCAGTATGTTTCAATCGTTGTCCCTCCCAAGAAACATTCAGTTTTACATGCGCCCGTTGGTTGTTGAGATGGAATGCACACATCTTTAATAAAAAAGAAACAACAAAATCTAAGCGTACAGAAAAATTTTAAGGGGGGTGTGGAGCCCTAAATCCCACCAAACTTTTGAGTACGTTCAAATCAAATGAATTTTGTGGCATTATTAGTTTAACACATTATTTTTAAATTTTTTTTGCCTCATCACTTTTTTTAAAAAACAGTTTTTATTGAGTTACGGCCCTTTTCATTAACCTTTAAAAACTTACATGCAACTAAATAAATGGCTTAAATGAATTAACAAATACAAAAAATGTCTATAACCTCTATAAATATGATATTGCAATAAATATTCAAAATGACCCCCATTTTCATCAATACACAGTCGGTATCGTTTTAATAAGGAAAACCGAATGCGCTGAAAAATCATATTTTTCTGACGAAATTGATTTGCAGCTTCAATTATTCTAACCCTCAATTGTTGTTCGTCCTCTATTGTTACAGAATACACTTTTTCTTTCATAAACCCCCAAAAGCAAAAGTTCATGGGGTTAAGACCTGGACTTCTGGATGGCCAAGAAATAGGTGCTTCACGACCTCATTTAATCCACCGACCAGATATTGCCTGCAAAGGTATTCCCGGACTTCATTACGGTAATGCGGTGGAGTGCCATTTTGTAGAAACCACATATTTTGCCTTATTGCAATATTCACTTTTTCCAAATACTCTTGTAAATCGTTTGCCAAGAACTGTAAATAAATATCACCATTTAAATTGTTGGGATGAAATACTGGGCCTATTAGATTGTTATCCACAATTCCTGTCCAAACATTAACTTTGAAAATGCTTTTGGTGATGAGTCGTTTTTTTGACGTGAGGATTTTTATCGGCCCAAATATGCTCGTTATGATGGTTTGTTATTCCATTTCTACTGAAGGTAGCCTCCTTGGTAAACAAAATATTTCTAATAAAATTAACATTTCGAGTGTTTTCCATTAACAACCAATTGCAACATCCAATTCTTTTAGGATAATCTTCAACCAATAACTCTTGAACCGTTGTTAAATGATAGGGTTTAAGCAGCTGATCCTTCAAACGCTTCCAATCCTTACGTGAGGAACATTTAGTTGAGCAGCTAGTACCCTTGTACTTGTTTCAAGGACTTCTTCAATGATTTCCAAAATATCTTCATCAGTTGCATCCATTATTGGACGACCACTATTGCCAGCAACTTGTGGTTGGAATGTACCTTTTTCCCGTAAACGACGATTAATGGTCAGAAATAATTGTTTATCGGGTGTATTTCGATTGGGGTATTTTATTGCCTAACGCCTTGCGGCTGCTGCACTATTTCCTTGACATTCACCTACGATATTCCCGATAGTTTATTGAAATCATCATTTAATCTGATCCAACTTACCCAAAGTTAAATACATATCTGCTATTTCCTAAAATGTGTAGACCACTGTAATATCAAAATTTTTAGTATTAATCTTATTCACACAATAAATGATAGCTTCAAATTATTGACTATTATTGATGGAACTGTTTGTAATTATTGTATCCGTAGAAACCATGGACGTATAAACACAGATGGACTCAGTTATTTACATAAAATTGTGAAGTCAAAATTATTTGAATAGGTCACATTCTCAGCACCTTCAACTGTCACGTTTTGTTTTAAAATTTCTCATTCGCGAGTCGCTGAAAATATTACTCCGTATTTTATACTCTACAGGTGCTATCAAACCAAAATAATAATTTATTGGTTAGATTAATATATTTAATTGTAATTAAAATATAAAGTGTGCACATAGTGTGCATTATCATTTAATAATAATGTATAATTTAGATATCAATCAATTATTTTATATGTAGAAGCACTGAAAACTATTTATAAATGGCAACGGTTGTTTACATTTCTCTGTCTTATGGATCTACGTCAAACTTCAAATGCTGTTCCATGTTTGTTTACTTTTTAGTAAAAGTTGTTTTTCGATATTTTGAGTGATATTTGTCAAAAGTGAAATAAAATAAACGAAATATTTACATCTCGAGCTCTCATTTTATTTGTAAGTACATAAAATTTACAATATTTAAGATGAGGAAATGAGGAAGCGTGTTTGTTTACATTTTAATAGGCGTTTATTATTTAATTATTATTTAATAAGTTCATGAAATTAGTAGACATTTTTAAATTGTAAGTAGACATCATCTGATTAAAAAATTCTATTTAGTACCTTTTTAATTTAATATTTCTCATGGATGCAAATAAATTAGTGAAATGAATAAAACTCATTTATTTTTCTATGTAGGTTTCCAAATAATATTGACGATCGAACTATTTTGGTAGCAAATTTAGGAGAAAACATAAAGATTTTTTATTGTAGCATTATTTTGATACCTATTAAAAATTAACTTGAATTCAACTATATTTTATTGTATTAATTTTAAAGCAAATAAAATTGTATTTTAATTTTTCTATAAAGACGTGATTTGTTAATAGTTAAACTCTCGTTTTTTTAAATTCTTTGAACGTGTTTTTATACATTATTACTACTTCCAATTTTTAAAATCTGAATAATTACCCGCTAGTAAAAATTCAAGCACGCTTATGCTCATTGCGGAGGCATCACATTCTATCGAAGCTTCAAAACATTGTGTGTTAAAGGTATCTTATTGCTGTGTCCATCTATGTTATACGTCCATGGTCGAAACTAATTGTAATATTAAGGCCAACTAGGAAAAAACTAGTTTTTCCAAAAAGTGATAAGAGGCAAAAAACTTTTAAAAATAATGTGTTAAACTAATGATGTCACAAAATTCATTTGATTGGAATGTACTCAAAAGTTTGAGGGGATAGGGCTGCACACCCCCCTTAAATTTTTTCTGTGCGCTTAGATTTTGTTGTTTCTTTTGTATAAAAAATGCTTCTAGAAAAATAAAGTAACGTGTCCATTTTTATTACAAAATGTCACGTAGTTTAGGAGATAATGCAAAAAAAAACATTTTTTATTTTGTAATTTCAAAGGGGTGTAACGTTTTTTGTGTACACTTTTGTACTAAGGTAAGTTGGATTCAATCAATTTATTTTTGTCCCCGGAATGCGTGATATAATTTATGACTATGACATATCTTTTTGTAACACCCTGTATTACAGACGGATATATATATATATATATATATATATATATATATATATATATATATATATATATATATATACAGCTACTGCATTGCTAGCCATCAATAAGGCATTTGATAAAATGTGGTATTTCACCAAATGAGTCAACTTTAAATGCAGTCATTATAGAGATTCGGAAAAAAATTATAGTTACTATAATCGAGCGATAAAACGATCTAATTTAACATTCTTTGAAAAAACATCTCTCGTTTATTGAAGCGAAGCTTCTATACTGACGTTGTATTTTACATTTTTGTTTAGAGGGAAATGCTGAGTCGAACGTCACGGAACTAGCACCACAAGATGGCGTCGTCACGATGAGCGTCATAGAATGTTGATACTTACCCCCACGGAGGAACTACTCGAATTCTCATTAGATTTGTTAGTGTTGAGAGACTCCGGTATGAAAAATATCATATATGCCAAACTGATCAACATACATGCGCAACCAATCGCAAATACTGTTTCGTAATTAGTTGCATCAAATATATATGGGCTTGCTATGCTTCCTATAAGAACTCCACAAGCAAGAGCACCTTCGTAACAAGCCATTCTAAAACAATAAAATCAAATGTATAGTACATAAAATAAACACTGCTTTGTGAGTGAATCATACAGGATTGACATGTTTCACTAAGACATCAGCATCATTCCAAAAAGATAATTTTAAAGTGTCTAATTCATTATCTGAAATATTTATTGGGATTCCAAATTTAACATATAATGTATTTTCTATGATATATTCTTATATTATACTATTAGATTCAGAAAAAAAATATGGTGGATATTACAAAATTAGGGATATATCATAATAAAGATACTAACATTATGATTTCACTTAATAGACAAAGATCGCGGTCGTATTTTTCCCTAATTTCCCCTCCACATTATACATAAGCGCGCATCATAGCGTTACATCGAACGATAAAACCGATTTTTTTTTCGATCAAACTACACTATTTGAAGTAAGATCTCTCATCTCTTCTAGAAGTAGCTGGATGTGACAATATAAATTCAATATGCCGACTGTTTACACCATTGCAGAAAGAGTACAAATAACAAAATTGTATTTTACGCGCCATTCTGTACGAGAAACTATTAATTTATTTATTCCAACTTTTGAAAATAGGCCAATACCTGTAGAAAAAACTATATTGGCATTATTAGTAAATTTGAATAGTTTGGATGTACTAATGGAAAATGTAAAAACTGCTGCCCGTCATAAATTAGAGAAACCCAGATCTGTGCAAAGACATACACAAAATGACATGAATTTAAGCAGATGGAACCACAACCAATCAAATCGACCATGTGCTAATAGACAAAAGGGTAGCCATTATTATCTCAGATGTGAGAACACGACGAGGAGCATGCTGTGGACCAGACCATCTTTTACTCCAAACCAAATTTAGATACAGAGTTAACAAAGAAAAAAACGAAAGATAAAGAACAAACAAACTCGACCTGGAAGAACTGAAGATTGGAATAACCTTTGAAAAATAAGGCTATTATAAATGAGTTTATTTAAATCTTGCCCAAGTACTTTCACTTAAAATAGCATCTTCAGGGGCATTTCATCAAATATGAGCTATCCAGCAAGCGTAGAATGTGAAAAACATGAGCAATAACATAAAATTGTACAAAACATTACACTAAAACAAGGACAAACAGTTTAAAATTGAAATTTAAATTTAAAATTTAAAATGGAATAATATCATAACAGCAGTACTGGCAGCGGCTGAGTCCACCCTGAGAAACAAGAAAAATCCGAGAAGAGGAGCATGATTAGATGACGAGTGTAGACAAGCAATAGAGGAAAGAAATGAAGCACACAAAATGTATATACCAAGAAGAACACGGGAAAGACGAACATCATTTAAATTTAAAATCGCAAGGCAGAATGCGGACAAGATATGTAGAAATAAAAAAGAGCCCATGAAAATGGACAAATAGAATAAATGGAAATTATGAATACCTAAAAAAGATAAAAAGTGGGTATAAACCTTAAACAAGTCTATGTAGTAAAGATGAAAGTGGAGAAAAAATCAGTGAAGAACAGAAAGCCACAGAAACCTGGAAGCAATATTTTCAGACTTTACTTGATATGCAAGTAGACATGGAAAATAAAATGATTACGGACTATGTAGAAGACAATGAAGTGGAGAATGGAGTAGAAACTCTAATCATAGAGAAAGTTCTCGAAGCTATTAAGGCCCAGAAAAACAATAAAGCCCCGGGAGTTGACGGAATACCAGCAGAATTGTATAAGGTAGGTGGCGATCATCTAGTAAGTCACATCCACGCGCTTATCAAAAATATAGGACAAGAAGAGAAAATACCCGACGACTGGAAGAAAAGTATAGTATGCCCGATCTATAAAAAGGAGACAAACTCCAGTACAAAAACGACCGTGGAATTTCTCTACTATGTACCTACAGCATATAAAATCCTCACGTATATTATAAACCAGCGGCTCCAACCACGAGCAAAAATATTATTGGAGAGTATCTGGCGGGCTTTCGACGGGGAAGATCGACAATAGATAAAATATTTACAGTCAAACAGATCTTGAGTAAATCATGGGAATGTGACATTGATGTTCACAACGTTTTTGTAGACTTTAAACAGGCATATGAGTCAGTCAAAAGGAAAAAACTCTACAATATATCTTCTGAATTGGCAATACCACACAAGCTAATTAGACTCATTAAAATCACAATGGATGAAACTCAGGCATGTGCACGAATACAACAGCATCGGACAGATTTTTCAAAATTTCGCAGGGACTAAAGCAGGGAGGTTAGCTGGTCCCAACTTTGTTTAACCTGGCACTGGAGTATGCGGTTAGGCAAATGCAAACTGGAAGAAGAAACCTGCTGGAAATTAACAGAAAAAAACAAAAATAATGATACAGATATAAAAAATATACTCCCACAAAACTTTATACATGAAGATGACAAACGGTTGGAAAGTTTACATACCTGGGAATAAAAATATATGCCGACGGACCAGAAGATGGAGAAATACGGAAGAGAATAACGCAGACGAACAACTTATTTTGCCCTCTACCACGGATTTCAGTCTAAAAATGTCCACCCAAATACTAAGATGAGAATCTATAAAACCTTAAATCGACCAATAGTATGCTATGGCAGCGAAGCATGTGTCCTGAAAAAAACATCCAAAGCAAACTTGACACATTCGAAAGGAAAGTACTGAGGAGAATACTAGGATCTATGAGGGAAAACGGAACTTTATAAGGAAGCACCACTGTCAGACTTCATTAGAATACAAAGATTGCAATGGGCCGGATATGTGATAAGAATGGGAGAGGATAGAGACCGGTTGGACAGCCAAGAAAGCGCTGGGAAGACGCAGTAAACAGCTACGCACAAGCCCTTTTAGGAGTCCGGGTATGGCAGCCACAGACAAGCAAGGGTGGAGGCAAAAAATAAAGTAGGCCAAAGCTCAATTTGGGCTGTAGTGCCGTAGAAGAAGAAGAAGAAGATCTGTGCATTGGCAGAAGTGACGCCGTGTTTAAGTAAACAAATAAATTGCAGATCAAGTGAATTTGAATGAAAACATAGTAAGGAAAATTTTGAAAACAAACAACTACCATTACTATTAAGTGCAGACAATTCAAGACATATTTCTGATTATCATTTTAAACAGATGAAATTCTGTGAAATTATGATGGGGAAATGCAATGAAAATAATAATTTGTAAATAAAAATAAAAATTTTATCTGTCGTTGAGACTAAAATAACGTTTTTGTTTTTTCTGGGTATATACGACACAATCGTGCATTTTTCTTTAAAAGCAAACATAGTTGTTTTTCTGGTCTCTTAGTATCAGTAAATTGAAGTGGAAGCTCTCTTTTGTTTTTCCTATCAGTGCCTATCATAGTCAGATGATGTTCGTTTAAAAAAAGACCGGCCAAACTGAGGCTCGTAAAAAAATGGTCCATTGTTACATTTCTGTGAGAACCAGACATAGGACTGCAGAGGCGAGGAACGAGGGAAATATTGCTTGTATCAATTTTATGTGGGCCAGGTGGCTGTTGTCCAACGTACAGGTCCTACGTAAAACCCTAAGAATGTTACCATACAGATTTAGATATCTCAGCAATATCCTTAATTTGTCTTACGTAAAGATAGTGGACTATTCTTTGATATAGTCACGTTTTAGATATGCCCTTTTAGCGTTAGGTAGAACATATGCTTCTCGTGTGAATAAAGTCGAAATACTACAAAGGAGGTTTTTGAAAATAATACCAAAAAAATCTCGCTTATATTCATCAGAAATTCTTTATCAACAAGCAGGTATTTTTAATATTAAACAGGTATATTTGTTAAACATAATTTTGCTTACATACAAAAATAAACATGTATTAAAATCATACAGCGCTATAGAGCGTTCCACGTTAAGAAAATAACATTACGCTTATGGAGATCAGTGTTGCCAAAACTCTCAGGCATGCATTGGTATTAGATTGTCGATATATGATTCATTCTAATCAGAGCCGTATTCAGCACTATGTAGTTGTAGTTAATTAACTTCATTAATAAAAGGATAATAAATAAATAATAGTTGAATACAAAATAATGCATTATAAATACCTGTTTTTTTAATTGACAGATATAGGTATGTATTTATTATAGGTCTAATTAAAATAGTTAAATTTTACTATTCTTTAACATTACATATTGATTAACGCTTTAAATAAGATATAACTAAACAAAACAAGTGCAGGTTTAATTTTATTTTCATGTAAGAAATAACAACAATTAGATACATAAAAATGTTTCCTTGTATACAGGGTCAATCACAACTAACGTAACGAAAGATTACAGCGAAAGAGTAAACAAATTTTAAAAAAGTTAAATCATTAGTTTGTAAGTTGATAAAAGCTACATTTTAAAATGATTTTGAAATATACAGGGTATCCCAATTACAGGGTTGGTACTCCATCTTTTGCGAGGTCGGCCGATACTTCTACCGATTAATGATTTATCTCTTGCTATTTTGACCACACTTGGCTCCTCCATTCTGCTTATGTGGTTATTCCAGTCTTTTATATATATATATATATATATATATATATATATATATATACATTAAACCTAGATTGCACATGTGCACACTATCACATAATTTACTCACTGCATATTAACATCATCCTCATCTTCTCTATAATCGCTATCACTTTCATTACTGTCACTGTCAACCGTCACATTTATTACCACAGGATCAATATCGTCCATCAACCCATCAATAACCCAAAATTGTGCTCTTCCTTAATAGCAAGTTTGCAATATTTTTTCCAGTTTTCCACTGTTACTACACCAAATGCATTTCTTATTAATTGTTCCATAGCGGTGCCTTAAACTCTATGTTGTGTGAGGCAATATGTCTTTTGACTTGACTCCATACCATTTCAATTGGATTTAACTCACAATGGTATGAAGGTAGTCTCAGAATGGCAACATTTTTCTCTTTGCACATCTCGTCGATTTATATTTTATGTATTTTTCTGTGTATGTGTTTACGACTTCCATGAGCTCTGATTTTAAATAATCTTCTTCAAAAAAGATATCTTCCTCCAGCAACCACGTCTTAATTTGATCTTTATTGAAGGCTTGTGTCGAAATCACATCGAAATCTTCTCTCCTCGAATGGTACGAAGCGTTGTCCATCACCACAACAGTTTTCTCTGGAAGATTAGGAAGCAGCTTTTCCTGAAACCACTGTTCAAATATAGGACCATCCATCTCATCATGATAGCCCGTTGAGTTTTTTAGCTAAAAACCAAAAAGCAGCATCTTCTACAAAGCCCAATGCGCTACCTGCATGCACTATAACAAATCGGGGGCCTCGTTGTGTCGGTTGTTTTAGGCCTGTTGACAACCCCTTAACGAACGCATCCCTGGTTGACGTCACTGAGAGGTCCTTCAATTATTTGGAAACACTATGTCCAACATTCACCCAAATTTCGTCCATATACACGACGGTGGATCCTTGAGAACGAAATTTTTTTATTTCACGCAAATACTGATGCCTCCATTTTAGAATATCGGGCCGTTCAGTCATGCTTGACTTTACTCCGCGTTTGCAAAAAAAAAACAAAGTTCATGGTATTCTCCACATTGTTGTTAGTGACATGTTTGCTAAATCTTTCTCTTTTTTAACCAGTACAATAACTTTGTTCAATGTCGGCGCTTAATTTTTAAAGAAAAAACTATGCATGATGGCACGTAGCCGCGTATGAACTACTGCATCATAAGTGAACTTTCTGTTGTTCACTCTACTTTTGGTACGTTTTCTTGTTTTTTTTATGGTCCTCCTTCCGCAGCTTCTTTGCATATTTTAACAATAGTACTAAAACTTACTCCTGTCGTAGCACTTACTTTATCGGTTAAATTTCTGACACCCTCACCACTTCTTAAGTTTACATGATAATTAAATACATTTAAAACAATTTGTTTTGCACGGATGTCCAAGATATTCCCTTGGCTTAATTTTTGAATTTCCATTTTCAATTAACATTTAATTGTAAAGTCAGAATAACAAGTAAAAAACCACAAAGCCTTATTATCATTATGTAGTCTCAGAGAACAACATAGAATCGCTGACATCCGTACAACGTATTATTTTAAGTTGCAATTAGTTATTAGATATATGCATTCCAAGGGTCCGTTTATTTGCTTTTAAATCTTTAATAGCCGGCAAAGTGCATGATTTAACTAAGCCATATTTTCTACTGATTTCTATGATTCATGATATGTGGTATTCTTATCGAAAAACAAATAAACTGTCGTTACTATAATTAAAATAAGATAAAATAATTTTTTTTTGTAAATACTATTTATTTAATTAAAATTATTTTTCCTACTTTTCATCGCTTGTTTCGAATTGGCACTTTTGGTCAATTACGTTAAAAAAACATTAATTTAATTCATGTCCGTGGAAACGAAAATACAAATTATACAACCCTGAATCGTGCTTGTGAGTGTCGTGGCAACGCCGCGCTTGTATCGGCCATAAGAAATACATGGTCCTATCTCCGCAATGTTATTTTCTTAAAGTGGAACGCTCTATAGAAGGAAAGTTCATGACTATGCCCAAATTACTAGTTCTTATAAATCAATAATTCGAAAACACACTTTCACATACTTTATTCCTAGAATATTTAACTATTTACCCGAGATCTATAAAACCTATCTGAGAAAAATCAACTCATTTAACATGATTAAATCCATTTTTATAAAATTTCTTAAGAACACTGGATCACAAATTTTAGAAGCGATATTTTTAAATTAAATTCATCATATTATAACTAATACTATACTATATACTTTGTAATAATATTTTATATTATCAATCTGATCGTACTATAAAACAAATGTTTAAATAGTGTAAATGAGTGTTATCACTGAGTACAACCTCTGATTCATCAGGGAATTTCTTCTTTTGTTTATTCGCTAACAAATATTTGTATTTAACTTAAAATTAATATGGTATTCTATTATATTGAACTATTACATTGTAAAATGGTTTTATATTGTATAAAGGGAAGTAAATAAACATCCAGATTTAGACATGCATCTCACACTCCCTCTAAGGGAAAAATTCACTTCACCTCTAGGGGAAAAATCCCAGATACCTACGATATTAAAAGGACTGAGCTCTGGTGGGATTCTTTCCGTGTTATCGAGCCCTAGGTGACTTGGTAGGCTCTTTTCTAGAAGGTTCTTCGAAATGACTCTAGTAGTAAAGAGAATAATAGGTATTGTCTGGGTACTTTGTATTCTCCACTGCCTTCGTAAAAATAAACATTATCCAGATTTAGCCATACGGCTCACACTTTCTCTAAGGGGAAAATTCACTCATCCCAGATACCTACGGTATCAAAAGGATTGAGCTCCGGTGGGACTCTTTCCGTGTTGTCGAGCCCTAGGTGACTTGGTATGTTGGAGTATCTCCCAAAAATTTTCGTACACTTCTGGACGTCACGAGGAGTACAGCTTTCTGCATGGCCTTATAAAGATGTTCATTTAGACCCAGCTGTTTTATGTTCGCTAGGAGGTTTTTGGGAATAACGCCAGTAGTAGATAGAAGAATAGGTACTGTCTGGGTACTTTCCATTCCATTGTCTCTTGATTTGTATTTCTAGATCTCTATACTTGGCGATCTTTTCGTTTGTATTTAACACGCAAATTGTAAGTGTTAGATATCGCCACATCAATATGTGTTGTTTGCATGGTAAGTTTATTCCCTAGTATGAGATCCGGTCTATTATGGGCCACTGGTTGGTCTGTGAGCACAGTGCGGTCCCAGTATAATATATTGATTGGTGTGGACATATTGATAATAAGTAAGATGGTCGGTTTGGAGAAGTCCCAGTTTGTCAGCCAGTTCTTGGTAGATAATCTTTCCTACTGAGTCATGGCGTTCTTTATCATCGGTACCGACAAATGCCTGGCAGCCACCGATAAGATGTTGGATGGTTTCTTGGGCTTGGCATCCATATCGGCATTTGTTATTTAGGACTTCAGGATCTTTAACAATATATTTTAGTTAATTTTTAGTTGGAACTACCTGATCCTGAATGGCAATTAGGAAATACTCAGTCTCAGGATGTCATCTTTCCTGATGTCAACCAATAGTTCGACGCTGTATTGTCGACATATTTTTGGCTGATCTCATTGAGATGTCGGCCATGCAAAGGTTTACTCATCCAGGTGCGCATTTTTTTTTTTGCTGAGTCAGGTGGTTTATGCGCGTTTCTTATTCCCTCAGTTTAAGCGGCATTATATCATCTACTGCGCAAATTGTTCGATCCAAAGTAGATGTCTTAGCCTGTACCAGAAAATAAGTTCTTAAATTAGCAATTTGTTTATCCAATTGCTCACCTATATCCAAAGTCCTCTTCCCCCTTGATACCACGGTAATGTTGTTCTCTCTACTGCACTGCGTGGATGATGTTTTTGCGCCTTTGTGAGAAGTGTTCTTACTTTCTGCTGAAGACCCTCTATATCCGTTTTTGACCACTTTAAACTAGCAAATGAGTAGCTCAGCGCGGAACAGGCGTACGTATTTAATGCCTTAAGCAAATTTTTACTATTAAGATATGACCGATTTAGTTGTCTTACTCTTCGAACGAACTCCAATGTTGGTTCAGTTTTCATTTGTTTATGGTCAATTTTCCGCGATTGTTTTACTCCGAGATATTTGTACATATCATTTTCACCCATTGCCTCGATGTTTTGGCCATCTTGCATATCGAAACCTCCGGGCTGAACCTTTCCTCTGACTATATTTAGTATACGGCACTTGTCTAGTTCAAAATGCATACTGATATCATTTGAGAAAGTTTCTACAGTTTTAAGCATCTGATCTAGGTGGTTTCGAGTGGAAGCCATTAATTTCAAATCATCCATATACAACAAATGCTTAAACTTCGCCACAACAGTATTGTTATTTTTGATGCTAAAACCTGAGTCAGTGGAGTTCAGTAGCTGAGATAGTGGGTTTATCGCTAAACAGAACCAAAAAGGACTCAAGGAGTCCCCCTGAAAAAGGCCCCGGTTAATTGGGATATCTTCAGTATAAACATTATTATTATTATAGTTATTATGCTAGGTCGATCAGAACTAGTTATGATAACCTTGTTTAAGCTTTACGTCTTCTCAATGAATGAGTGGTCCCTTTTTTTTCGACTGTTCTCTATATTGGACTTTGTAAGTTTTAAATGTATGTAGGATAGTTCATGGGTATGTGTTCTCTAGTTTACAGATAGGATAACCACGCGATGGTCTGAAGCAAAGCTGTTCTCTATTAAGCCCTATCTGGTTTTCATCGTCTACATGTGGAGTCGAATCTATTAGAGGGAAGCGGAAGTCACTGTTGTAGATTATGTATAATACTGGTGCTAGAATGAAGTCCTTAGGGACTCTGGCATGCGGAGTTAAGAGTGTAGAGAATTTGCCTGCAACTTTAACTCGGACTATCCTCCTGAAGAGATAGCAACAAATTATTTTTTGTACCTAGTGATTGCAGCATTTTTTATGAAATAGATTTCAATAAGACATTAATACTTAATACATTGATGTCTATTTTAGCAAGTTAAATAAAACAAAGCGTTCATGCTTACCTTAGACCTCTTGTTTCGTCGGTTGATACGTCAGTTAAATATGATAATGTTGCTGCATAATACGTTGTTACGCCTCCCGTTACCATGGGAGGAATAGAAGCTATTAAAAAATACCATGGATTTATGCTATCAAAGATGCTGAAAATTACTACCAGTGCGCTCCCCACAGTAAGGCCTGCGAAAGTGAAAATAGTTCAGAACAGAAATTTCTTGAAAATTGAAGAAGCTTGTATACATTAAGGTATGTTAGCGCAATATATGTTTAATTTATTGTAATACGTATGGTCTCCATATATGATTATTGGGAAATAAACGCATAATAAAAGAAAAAGAATAACAATAAGCAAAACTATCGCAAATATCAAATTTGATTGAGTAAGAAACAAAGAAGTACAAAAAATTAGTGTAAAAAATTTACATTTATTAAGCCTTGTCTGAACGTTTTATTATCTGCGTTCATTGAACTCAACAACCTCTGTATACAGGCCCCATGGAGAGTTCACTTTCTCAGACATCTGTAACTACCGCAATACTAACTGCATTCTCTGCGAAAATAATTGTCAGAATACTCATGAGGTTACATGCAGACTGATAACCAAGGTCAAGGAAAACTACTCCTACTAGATAATATAGAACTTACCTCCTCTTTCAAAACTACGTGGAAGGGAGCAAACAATCCAGATAATATTTTTGCAAAACAGCTCAATTTAAAAAGAATAGAGAAAATGCAATGTTGCGCATTCAACACAAACCAATGGACTAACTATATGTCCATTTTTGTCCTTACACATATTCAGCCATGGCTTGAATTTTTTTCTTATCTTATTTAGGATGATTAAGGAACTTTCCAGTTTCATTGTTTCCCTTTAGTAATTAAAGTTCTTGCATAATCCAGTTTTCCAAGGTCCGCTTTTTTCTTCAATGCAATCCTTCTGCCTGAGTTCTTTGTACGTTTACTCTTTAACCCGTGTTCTTCTTTGTTGGATACATTTAAAGGCATAACTTGTTCTTTTAGTGTTATCTTCACATTCATCATGGAACCAACCATTGCGTGGAGTGGGTTCTTCTGTTTCTAGGACGTCATCTACCGCATTCTTAATTGTTCCTCTACATATCGAATTGTTCGTTAGCTGTTAAATTCTCATCTCTTGTGTTTTCATTCTTGAGACCTTTCTAGTGTAGTTCTTGTAAGAGTTTCAAATTATAACGATTTTAACGTGCGCTATTTTAACCTAAGCCAAAGATTACTACGACATATTAAGTGGCTAGTTTCAATTGTTAATTAATTGCTTTCAGTGTCTAAGTGGTTTAGTTTACTGTAAGTTTTTTAAACAATTGTCTCTGAGTCACAATACATCCCGTTGACTTAAAAGAAATTTTTAACAGATAAGAAAGAAAAGGCAAGAAGTATGGATTCGAGATCAATCAGGAGAAAACAAAATATATGGTAATGAAAGGAAATCGGAATCATTTAGGACAGTTTTTTAAGATACGTGTTCCTATTCAGGATTTCAATTTCGAAATTTTTGGACAATTCAATTACTTATAACTCCTAGGAGCAATACTAATAAACAGAGATGAAGAAAATAGAAAAATAGTAAAAGAGTGACTAATGGTAGCATGAACGCTGAGAGTCTAATTGAACGAAGGCCAAAATTTGTTAATATCTTAAAGCGATTATTTTATGCACCTGCAGGGTAAAAATCTAAAGCCCATAATCGGTATTAAAGATATTTACTAAATAGTTTATGACTTACCTATTAAAGACATCAACAAAACTGGTTTCCGTCCGTGTTTGTCTGACCATGGGCCGGCTACCATACACACAAAAACCGGAAATAATGACTCCACCGTTGTTTTGACCATTGTAATAATATCTGCCGTAGGTACTACTAACTTATCTAAGGCTTCTGTTTGATTTTTGTCAACAATATTAACGTTATCATTACCTAATTCCGCACAAGCTGTTTTATTATAGCCTAATATTATGTAGCATGTTCTATAGACAATAAGATTTGTGAATAATGTATCTAAAAATAATTAAAAAACATTTTACTAAACTTGGATCTCTCTTTTACTAAACAAACGTTATGAAAGAAGTTATTTTCAGTAATATTTCGATACAATTCTAATAGGTTATGGATCCAGAGCACGTATTTAAATTAAAGTTATATCGTGTTATATTTAGATGTATTGTTCATAGGCAATATTTTGAGAAACTTATTAATTTAATTTGAAGCTTAAAATTCTAGCACTATGAAAAGAAAAGGAGTAAAACACTTTATAGAAAATGGAATAATATACAGATGAAAAAATAAAATGCATCGTCAGGAAGATTTCAAGGAAGAAGAGAATAAAACTTTAATAACAGCCGTAGGCGACTTATGTGCTAGCAGGCCAGGATTTCTGAGCCAAATACGATAATGATGATAAGCAATTTATGTCATAAACGTAATGCGAACTATGCAGACGAAAATAGCCCATCAAAAGAGAAAGACATGCTCAAATGCCAAGCAAGCAGGAACTAATTTTTATCATAGGCATACCATGGTAACTGATTACCTAGAAATCATTGACTTTAAAATGTAATTTTAATCAATGTTATTGATGAAAAGTACTTGATGAACTAGTGCTAGTCATTATAATTTGTATTAAGTATATTCGTGTAAGATTTATTGTGGTGGTTTCCTGTTGCATTATTAATTATTACACAGTTTATTTTTATATTGATTCCTCTGCCGTTAGAATCAATTTCTCAACCACAGGACAAAAGAGTGTTCATACAGTTTTCAATACTAAGCCAAAAATCCGGGCTGTTACTTGCGCCGAATTCATCATTTCGAATATTTTTCTTATTCGTTTTGTTTCTTTTCTGTTACTAGCATGAGCCTCTCAAGACGCCCTAATTATATACTGATGCGATCTTGCTCTATGATTGCTACGTTCTGAGAGTGTCAGTCCAAATAGATAGTCCATATTTTAATATTGATGCGACTACTGACAAAAGTAACAGTCCTTCTGCTTTCTTTTGGGCCACCTACATTCTGCATTACCCTTTCTACTGACACTTAAATACTGCAATCCCCGTTGGCGCAGTTGAAAGCATTTTTAATGTCCAATGTGGCCAGTACTTCTTCGTACCTCTTTTCCGTCTGGTCCCTGCGTTCGCCTTTTTAGTTGTGGTAACGACAAGATTTATCGCATCTAGTGTTAATTGCCCCGTTAGAAAATCATACTGATTGCTATTGAGTACCGGTTTAACTGCCGCTTCGATTCTTTGATGGACATTGTTCTAATATCTTGCCAGCTATATCCAGCATACAGAGCGGACAATAAGATGATGAGTTATTGAGTTGTTTCTTCCCTTTTGGAAGAAGCAGAAATCTTTGTTGCTTCCATATGTGCGGGGAAGTACCCTCCTCAAGGCATTTATTGCAAACTTCCAGGAACTCTGATGGCTGCATTTAAAGTGATGTTTGAGATTCCATGTAGGCCTAGAGGTTTATTATTTCCTACTCTATTATACACCTCTATGAGTTGATCTTTCATTATCCACAGGAGTTCTTCAGTCTCACACTTCTCGATTAGATTATAAAAGTCTTGTTGAGGAAATAGCGCAGTAACGATCCTCTCTAGACGCTGAAGGCATGTAGGTATTGGCATTGAATGGCTTTTCAGGTGAGTCGTGACTACCTAATATGGCCTGCCCCGTGCGCATCTAAACATTCCGTATATGTATTAGTTACTGTTAAACTGGGAATAAGTCACAATTAAAGATAAAAATACGTTTATTGACGTTTCAATTTCCACTTCGGAAATCGTTCTCAAAATACAAACCAGAACGATTTCCGAAGTGGAAATTGAAACGTCAATAAACGTATTTTTATCTTTAATTGTGGCTTATTCCCAGTTTAACAGTAACTAATTTACAATGCCACAAGAAAATAGCTTCAGAACAATATTCCGTATATGTATTTGGCACCTAGGACTTTTCTATTGGTTCTTTGCGGCACGTGACAATGTTTCAACCAATAGGCGGCAAGGTGCAAAACACGTATATGGAATGTTACGTTGGTGCCAAATGCATATACGGAATGTTAAAAATATTCGTAAACCAAAACAGACGACTGTTTATTAAAATCAGTTAAAAGGAGACTGATTCTAAAATAATTGTTTATATATTATTAAGGAAAACTAAAAAAATGCCATAGGAAATAAAACAAAATATATTTAAATACATTTAAAAAAAAATTCAAATGTTTAAAATGTAATATTTATGCGTAATTCAAGGCCCTTCACCATGTTTAGTTGCATTTGTTTGATTTGCTGCGATATTTTACGAAAGATGGTGACGCCTTTTTAATCTTTTTTTAGAAGGTTCATCTTTAGGTGAACTTCCAAATGGTAATCTTTCTGACCCTCTAGTAACTACCAACTTTCTTCGGCTGATTGAAGTAGGTTGCACTCTTATATTGGCCTTGTGTCCAAATCGCCTTGACGAGGAAGTTCCTGCCGTGTTTAAAAAACTTTCAGAAGCCGTTTTTGTTTTAATATGGGATAATCTTTCGTGCAGTAATTTTAAAGTTGATGAATCAGTTCCAAATGTAACATTTTTATCTTGTAGGATATTAATAAAATCTGTAAACGAAAATTAAACTTTTTCGACAAAAGCTAATTTAGCTACGTCGTATCGATCTTCAGGAGTAGTAGCTGGAACGTTGCAAAAATATATATTAAAAAAGTGTGAAATTGCAGCTTGATGCTTGCAAAAACACCCAATCTTCTAATTTCGCAACTAGAAAATCCTGTTGCTATATCGACTTCGTAAAACACACTATTAGTTTGCTCACTAGGAACTTTATATAAATTTTTGGATACTGTACTTTTATATTTCTGTTGTATTTAATTTTTTCTAATTGCCTTTTAAAGAGTAATCATGGAGCTGCATCTCTACTAGTTGCAAAATTTCGAAGCCGTCTTTTATAATATCCTTCTAAGGCAGTGCAGCTATTATATAAAGTCTATTAAAGCTATAACATTATAACCTTTGTTTCTATGTAGAACTATGTCACCGAAGGCATTTGGTATTGACCCTTTAAGCAGTTGGTATGCTGCAGCATAATCTTCAGTTGTTTGACCTTTGGTAATAATAATTGCTAAAGGTACTGCACATAAACGAAACTGATTGGTTTAGTGCATCGTAAGAAGCTGTGGTATCTGTAAAAACAACGTCTTTTGCAAATGAGAGACTGTGTGCTCGTTGCATAATAGGTGTTACAACAATGACGCCAAACGGGTTTTCATTATATTTTACTAAAATTCCTTCTACCTCAAAAACCTTGTTTCATTTTCTAAAAAAAAACCGAAAAGGTCAGTAATTCAAGAGGCTTTTACCGAGACTCTCTTTACCTCCAAAACTAAGGTTCCGTTGTGAGGTTCCAAATTTTCAGTTTTGCATAATATTATGCCAATGTTGCACTGTACGATATTTTGTATTAATTTTTGAATTTGCTAAAAGTTTATTATCAAAGCCAACTTCAAATTCTAATTTGGATTCATGATAAACTGGAGACTCTTTAATTCCCATTCCATTATCAAAATAAGAAAAATATTTTTCTTTTGTATCAGTGGATGGACGAAGGTATGAAAGGCTTTTAGCTGATCCTAAATTATGATTATGCTCGCCTATAATACCTGGCAAACCGTCCTAAAAAAACCTGTTCTGATTATTTCCCATTATGTATGGAATATAGTATATATCTCGTTAAATACCGACTTTCAAAAAAATATATAAAAATTATTTAACAGTTGTTTTTATACATAAAACAAATAAGTAATTAAAAACAATTGACTTGTTTTAAATAGCAATGTACCCTTTAATTGGGCTTATTTGATACAGTTTTTTCTCTTTTCAATGACGTAACATGTTAGTATCCTTCTACAAAAAATTCATACAAATGTATGAATTTTTGTCAAAAAAATTGTCTAAAATAATTCATACAAATGTACAAAAAGTACTAAAAGTAAGAAAATAATGTCTCGCTAAATGTATACCATTCCGTATATGAATTTCGCACCAGAAAAAGATTCCATATACGTGTTTGGCACCTCGTCGACTATTGGTTGAAACGTGCCCGCGTGCCGCAAAGGACCAATAGAAAAGTCCTAGGTGCCAAATACATATACGGAATGTTTAGATGCGCCCCGTGCCCCACGGATTATTCTGCACGCGCGTGTGTATGTGTGTGTGTGTGTGTGTGTGTGTGTGTGTGTGTGTGTGTGTGTGTGTGTGTGTGTGTGTTTGTGTGTGTGTGTGTGTGTGTGTGTGTGTGTGTGTGTGTGTGTGTGTGTGTGTGTGTGTGTGTGTGTGTGTGTGTTTGAAGTAATGCCAAATAAATTTTAGAAGATACAAATATTATAAGAATCTCTATGAGCTATTTAATAAAATTCCACTATTCCAATATGTTTACTGGTCTACGATGTATTACATTTTATCATCTAAATATATACACCAAGTTTCAACCTTCAACTTCCTACGTAATATAATTCAACTATTTTTTAAAACAATCATATTTGCAAGAATGACTCGACATATTAATATCTTTGTTATTTACTAAAACGACACTCTTTGGTTATCTATATGATATCCACTAAAAAGTGATATTGAATGCTATTGATTACCACTTCCTGAAAAACTAATTACCAACACTATTTAAACAAAAGCTTAACTAAACTATAAATGCTCAAATAGAATGGAAATGAAACATCATCTTAAAAATTTCCATTCAGTGACGCAAACGATATGTTGTTTACTATTAAATTAAATATATACTGCATGTCATACAATTATTTATGCATTTATTGATTTTTATGCAAAAAAATGACCAAAAGTACACTAATAATATGAAGCTAACTGATGAACAGAAAACATAACACAGAAATGGATGAAAAATATACTCGTAATAATTCTGAAAGACAAGCTGACTGTTTACAAGTGTTAATAATCATTTCAAACCATCAGAAAGGTTAG